CGATCAAACAAGAACTTTGTGTGTCAAAAAATTTGGTTAGTATCTCGATTCTTTGTATTGGAAAAGACGATCCGATCGAGCTAAAAATGTGAGGAAATACTAAATTCACTATCCTCTATAACATATCGAAAGATCAGCAAATTCTGAGATGTCACTCCATCGCCAATGCCTGAGTCTCTCAGACACTTACTCTTAAAGATTCGCTTGTAAACCATATGTATTTTATTATCGTTTGAAAAGTTTTTCGCATGAAAACATTCCTTTATTTAGATAGGCTTAGTTTCCTGAAAGAAAATCAACAATGACATGAATCTGACAGAAGTTTTCATTGATATCAGTTTTTGTCGTATAATTGTGAATATGATTCAGAGTATTTTCTTCATTGAACATATGCCAAAAAAAAATATCGAAAAATTTTTTTCCATCATTCAAAATTATTTAATCATTTGTTAGTTATATCCATGCTATGCGATTAACACATACTGGTGAAGATTATTTTATGCTCTATATTTCATTTGCAGTATAATTAATACATAATTATTATTTTTTAGAAATTAATTATTTTTATTTCAGTATTCTTTATGTGTATATGATATGTTAATGGAACGATATATTTGATCAAATTTTTTGACACACAAAGTTCTTGTTTGATCGATAGAACGAGTGATTATCGTGAAGAAATCCTTTGATGAACATTTTATTGCTAACTTTTCTAATATTAGAATCACAAAAGCCTTTTGTTTCGTTTTTTTTTCTCCATAATAACGAAATTTTGACATCCAACTGCAATATGCTAACTTGCGGAAATACCCAAGTAAATTTTCTTCGTATAATGACACATAATGCAAAAGACGAAAAAAGATATATAGAAAGAGAACATGATGAAAGAAGCGAGCACATGCAATGATCAATAAATCCCTACGAAATCAACTACCTTATGAAAACGTTACGTTTCGTTATTACGCGTAAACAAACCCACGTTGGAAAAAATCAAGCAATCTCGTCAGAGATAAGTACGCAGCAAAGCTAGTTGCAAACATGCATAAAACAAAATTTATACATTTCGATATCATTTAGCTGGTGAGTATACTTAATTTTCAACTTATTCAAGAGACATTGTATGAGATAATTCAGCAATTTTTAACAGTGTTATACTTTAAAAATTGATCACACTCTCTCCTTGTATATAGGGCTGCAAATTTAACAAAAAAAAAAAATTTGTGTTTTTGAAAATCGAGTTAGCAAAAGCTCAACCATTTTCAAATTAGTATTAATTGTCAAATTATTTTATAATTTCTCGAAAATGCTTGACTTTTCAAAAGCAGAATTTTCATTCATTCGATGTTCTGAGATAACAAAAAAATACATTTTTGAACCAATTGAAAGATCAACAAGAGTTTTTAATGAAGTTTAAAAGTTTAATTCCTATTTTGCAGAAAATCAATTTAAATTCTACAAAATATAAAAATTCAGCATTACTTTTTGAAATATCATTGAAACAATGGCGACTACAGAATATTAATTTAGTGACATATATAACTCAGTTGATGATGTCAAAATAAAGACAAAAACAAGCAATAACGTATTTTTTATTGACCATGAGAGATAATAAATATGATTTTTTTAAAGAAAACAATTTCGATATTTGCCATTGTTTCCGTTTTTTAACTATATATTGTCCTTGCATTCAAAATGATTGGTTTACTTTGAGACATATTTTTATAACAAAAATTCTTATTCTATATAATTATACGTTCACTAATTAGAAATTCTATATATTTAATAAGGTATATAAGAGCAATTCCCCACTAGTAATGATGTTACTTTTGTATAAAACTACAGTCTTCTTTCATTATATATGTGTATACGAAAACTTTTGTAAGATAATTATGTTTTCTTTTTGATATTATTAAATTATGATGTTTCAAGTGATACCTAATTGTATGTACTCTTTGGGCCTGTAAGAAGAGTTAAGGTTATAAATAAAGTCTCTGAAGAGGTGAAAGAACAGTTGATTGTAAAAATAGAAAGTTATAATAGATATTCTATTTTCTGAAAAATGTTCAGAATACATAATCGAGTTCGGTACTCTAGAAATGTCCACATGAATAAGATCGTGATTTTCTAATTGAAGAATCGAAGTTTGTACGGGAATTCCTAGAATATCATTTTTTATTCTCTAGAACTTCTTTTCTATTTCAAGTTCTCCCGAATGGACTAAAGAAAAGTTTTTTTTCCAAAGAAACATTTCATTTTCGTTTTATCTGTAATACCTTTCAGAATGTTTGACGGCATTTCCATGAATCGATCTCGATATATGAGATCAATAAAAATTTCAAAAGAAACAGCGAAACTCGTCCTATAACATTGTATAGTAGACTTTTTCGCAGACTTCTATCCTAAGACAGTCTCTGTAACACAATCGATTCTCAAAACAATACATACCAGACCTAAAAAGAGAAAACAAATGGTATTTTTATAAAGTTTGACCAAAGATAATTGAGGTCGAGGCATGCAAATCTGTAATTGGTTTCTCAAAATTTTGAGTTTCATTTTATGACTAAAAAAAACTTTTTCAGTAAAGTAATGGGTTTTTTCACTAAAAAGTCATTTTTTTCTAAAAAAATGTTTTTCAGTAGGAAATATCAGGCTCAAAATTTCGAGAAATCGATTACAAATGCGGATTCCTTGATCTCAATTACCTTAGCTCAAACTTTATACAAAAAAAAATCATAATTTTCAGAAATTTACTTTTTGCTCGATGAACTTGGAAAGTTTTTGTTACTAATAACAGGAATACATGTTGCGTTCCCATTCCTAGAAATAGAATGCAAAAGTGACAACCCTACTTACATTCATACCCTCTGAAGACGTCAGTTTGTGAAGTGCAATTGGTGATGAGTATTGAAATGTATAACAAAAAAGTGGACACTTCTCCCTTCTCGTTCCCACACAGATATCGTAACAAATAGAGACAATCGGTTAAGCTTTCGAGCATTATAATGACCGATGTGCACAGATCTCTTCCCAACGAGTAGAACCAATCCATTATGTTTCGCAGTTTTATCTCCAAGGGATCATATGCTGAAAGTTTTTTTTTGGCAAAATTTATGCTTGTTAATATTCGAGTATCTTGAGAGTGTGAGTAAGTGTGATTGTTGGTTTTTGTTTCATCCGCATCCATACTCCACACCATTGGTATGTCATTTGTAATTCAAGTGTGAGTGAAGATAAGTCAATAAAAGCTGTGCTGATGTTAAATCTGAGCGACTTTATCTATGACAAGAATCTCAGAATGTTTTCTTTTACAATCTTAAAGAGCGATAATAAAGGTGAGAAAATGAAATTTCGTAAAATCTGGTCGTGTTCTTATATTTTCTTCTGTTGTGTTTTGCATCTTTGATGATTTGTCATTGTTTCAGTCAGTAACAATACAGATGTTGTTTCAAAATCTGAGATCAGCTTCTTTCATTCACTATAAGCTTATTGTTCCAAGCGTTAGACGCTCGATAATGCGTCGAACAGCCACTACAATGTCTTCAATGATGACGCCATATTCAATGAAACCTGAAGGTGACATTTCTTCAGTGTTTGCCTCTCTCTCCGGTGTCGATGCTGACAAACCTCTCGAACCTAGATTCGCACAATTGAAAGCGAAAATTATTAGAGGTCATGAGCAACAGGTCAAAGATAGTTGGTATCGCCTACTTGATGCTCTGAAACGCGAAAATGCGATCATTCGTTCTTCACGCAAAACAATTATTCCTGAGGTTGACTTCAATAATATGAAGAATCTTTCATCTGATTTAATCAATGAGATTCGTACTCGTGGCTCAATGATTGTGCGAGGTGTTTTTCCTGAAAACGATGCCCTAAAATTAAAAACAGGCGCTGAAGACTACATCAGACAAAATCCACACACCAGAGCCTTTCCCCAAGACAAACCAGTCGTATTTGAATTGTATTGGTCACCGTCACAAATTCGAGCGCGTGCAAATCCTCGAGTAGTCGAAACACTCGCTTTCGCCAACTCATTGTGGCATGCCTCGCCGTCGACTCTTATTTCGTTGAAAGAGAATACTATCTATGCTGATCGACTGCGAATTCGTCAACCGGGTGATGCTCAATTTGCTCTTGGCCCACACGTCGATGGTGGTAGCATTGAGCGATGGGAAGATCCAGAGTATCAATCATGCTATACGCCTATTTTTGAAGGTCGATGGGAAGAGAACGACTTTTTCGATGCTACTCATCGTGTTGGTGCGAACATGTCTCTTTACAATACGGTTGGTGGCTGTTCAATGTTTCGTTCGTGGCAAGGTTGGCTCAGTGCTTCCACCGTTGGCCCAGGTGAAGGGGGTCTTTTAGTGAATCCACTCTTAAAATTAGCCGCATCTTATTGGCTTCTTCGACCATTTTTCACGAAAACTGAAAAAGGAAACGCTTGGCAGATCGATACATCGAGTATTTGGCAGGGTGCTATTCCTGGTCGAGGCCAAGAAATGAACGAGAAATTGCATCCTGAGCTAGAATTATCTACATCAATGGTTTCTATTCCGAAGGTTCGACCAGGTGACATGGTCTTCTGGCACTGTGATACGATCCACGCAGTTGATAGTGTACATCGTGGTCAACTTGATTCGAGTGTTTTCTACATTCCAGCAGCGCCCTTGTGCGAAGTCAATGTTAAATATTTGGCTCAACAACGTAGTGCCTTCTTACAAGGTCTTCCACCACCTGATTTTCCTGGTGGCGAAGGAGAATCACGTCATGTTGGTCGCGCGACTCCAGAAGAGGTGACAAGGCTTGGTGGTGGTCGTGCTATGGGTCTTGAGTTATTTTCAATCAAATCGGATATGACATCAGGCGAAAAAGAGATGATATCACGAGCTAATGCAATATTAAATTTCTAAACTATTTCCAAACTTATAATATTTAAGTATTGTTTTTTTTTTGTCCAAAGTTTCCTTTACAAAATAAAAGCGAGTTCTCAAATTGTCTGGAACTTTTGTGGAATCCACATATGGAATGTTGGAGGCCTAGATAAGTATCGTCTCCTCACCGATACTCATATCAAAACCAATCTTCTTAATGTTTGCATTTTTATAATGATAAATATGAATCGTCGTTATCGAAAAGATATCATGAATTCGTCGAGTAAGTTAGAGAATGTCTGGCATTATCATGTTCAGATTTTTTATTTTGTCTTTGACAAATTATAACTTCTGATCCCAACGGTACCGTTAGATTTGCTGAAATATTGATTAAAATCGTTTTGATAAAGGGAATAAATTCACATCATACTCTTTCAAGAAAAAAACTGCAACAATGCTGAGCAGAATGAGATTATCATTGTCGATCGTCATGGCTCTTTCTCCCTGTTAAACTTGTTTCAATGTTATCGGTAAATTTCAACATAATATGAAAATATTCTTTCTTTTAACGATGATTTCTAACATTCATTGCTACTTTTTCAACTAGAAGAGCTACAAAAGAATAGTCGAATAGCTATATTTGATCTCATCATATTTTTGTATGATATTTGATACTAGCATGATATTCCTAATATCAACTAATCGTTAATGATAAATATGTTTGACTTGTTCAGCAGTAGCAATCACAAAACTTATTAATGATAATGTCGAAATTTGACCTTTCATTTTCGATTTTGTAGTTCTCTAGGCGAAATCACGAACCACAAATAGTTGTATATCACTCTTCTCATGAGCGTCTGTATTTCGATTGCAAAAATAAAATCCTGTTAGTTGATTCATAGGGTGAAAGGCAAATTTTATGAATTCTTAGAAAAATTTATTGCTAATCAAGATAAAAATTTATTGAATATCAAACGACAGTGACATACGTAGATAAAAACGCATATTGATTGTGACTCCTTCGTAGATTCGACGAATTTACTAATGCTCCTATTATTAAGTAACATGTCAGCCATGAAAACTTTTGAAAAGAACAATGAACGAAACGTATGCTCGGAGAAAGACCTTGCAGTGTTGTTCTGGTGGAGTGCGTTGGCTTCATCAATCTGCGAAAGACTGCCGAACTTCCCCATTTTTCAATGTTGACATGCATCAACGGTAGACCAGAGAATGCGAGTTAGAGCACTTTGAAAAGTGCCTAGGCTATGAAGAAAACAAGTATGTACGTCGAAATTCAAACACAGATGAGTTGTGGCACTCGGTAGTTTTCTTACAAGTAATTGAGGTAGCAATATCTTTGCACGGCTTCTTATACTTGACGAACTAGGTCTGGGTATGGATGCTGGTACAGAAACTCATACCCAGATTCTTTTCTTTTCTTCTATCTACATATATATTGTAATACTGTACCAATATTATAATTTATATGGAAAGAAGAAAAGAAAAGAAAGAAAACAGAAATGATAGATATGATAATTGTATTAATCATTCTTGTGCTTGTTCATTCTGTCATAAATGTTCATATTTTCTGAAGAAGATCAATTTCATTGATTGAAATTTGAAATAAAAATATTTTCAAATCAATAAGCAGAAAAAGGGAATCTTTTCACATACACGAACGTTGTGTATGTTCATCAGGAAAAGCAGCAATATAGTCAGTTAGTTTATTGAACAAATTTTTTCAAGCGAAAATGAATTCTTTAGACATCGAGAGAAAAGTTGGATTTATATTTTATGACTTGTTGCAGTTTGAATATATTTTCTTCAAATAGACCACAATTTTTTATATTGAATTTTTCTAATGATTGATTGAGTTGTATCATACGAATACACGAGTTGATCGTAGCAAGACTAGTTAGTTGATTCTTGGAGAGATGCAACTCTCTCAGGGTTTTATTGTCATGCGTTAAAACAATGGTTAACGATTGTATTCCTGCGTCACCCAGGCAATTATTGTTGAGTGACAGATATTCTAATATTTTATTAGTTTTCAACATGTCTGCCAAATATTTAGCACCCTCATAGGTAATATTGTTTGAATTCAGATCCAGTTTTGTGAGAATCGAATTCGAGATGGACAGTGCATGGGCTAGATGAAAGACCCCGATATCATGGACACTATTATCGGCAAGGTAGAGCATTTTCATTGTTTTATGTGTGTTTAATAAATTGGCTAATATGATGGCGCCTTCTTCTGTAATAAGATTTCGTCTTAGATCTAGTTCATGGCACTGTTGATTCATAGTGACTTGTCGAACAATAATTTCCATGTCTTGATCAATCAATTGTCGACGAGATAAATCTATCGATGAATTTGACTCTTGCTGTGCAAGACTGTTCTCCAGTTTCGAGCTGCGGTTGTTGAACACAATTTCTAAAAATGAATTATTGAAGATGATAACAAAGAGTGAGAATGGCTTGTTGAAATTAGAATAAACATTTATGCTTGACGTAGAAATTTTTCATTCGCTTCGGTTTCGTCGAAACAAAATCAATGCTTTTACCTACGTAACTATGATCGAACGAATTTCTTCGAGTAGTTAGTAACAAAGGAAAGATTATCGAATAGGCAATTTCTATGTACACGAATCTTACTTGGAAAATTTTCGACAGAAACTGCTTACCTTGCATTAATTTTAAATTTTGCAAGAATTGCTTTATGTCGATCTCGTGTTGTTCAAATTGCTTGTCTGTATGATCTATTTCATGTTGAATATATTCACTTTCAGTCTTCATTTTCTTCACTTGTTGTTCTAACGTATTCAGTCGGTTAGTGTTCGATTGAATATCGCGCTTAGAATCGTCAAATTTACTCCGTAAAGTACTAAGATCAATATTTCTTACTGCAGACGTTGTTTGGATAGTCTCGTTAGTCTCTTCAATCATGCCATTCAACGTAATCTCTTCTTGTTTACATTTTTCTTCGATTTGTTCCAGTTTTCTCTTGAAATTTTGACTATCAACATTGAATTCGTCAATCGTGGATGTAAGAAATTTAGATATACAATACACTAAGTGTTTATCAAGTTGATCTCGCTGTCCAATCCAAGAACATTGAGTTTTGACTGATGAACAAGGTATAATCGACTTAGAACAGATTGAACGAATATGATCATCAATGTCAATGCGTAATAAATTTTGTTGTCCACATTGTTTACATTTCACGCGAAGATTATTGATCATTTGACATACAATACGAGTAGCGGGCCTTAACAAATCTCTAACGATCATTTTTCGACAAATCGGACATGATGTTCGACTTCTTTGCCAGTTTGTAATACATGGACGACAGAATAGATGATCACATGGTGTATAATACGGCTCGTTGCAAGGTTCTCTACATATGGAACATAGCAAATCAGAATCAATGGACGTATTATCCATGTATTCATAAGGACTGAGTGCACTATTTGTCATTGGACTGAACGAAAACTCTATCTAAAAGAAGAATGATTATTATTGACAATATGACAGGAAAGGCAAACTGAATTAGATCAAAAAGAACTTGTTTTTTTAACGAACGCGTCATTTTCATTGTGTTCCTGTAAAACAAAACAACTCATGTAAGGGAAAATAGCAGACATCCTTCCATTAATCAAACCTTCCAAGTAACAGAACGCATTATTAACTGGTGTTTTTCCTAGTTAAAAACTATTGCAGTTGTTATGTGACATAATTTTTTCATCATTATGACAAACGTAACATGATTTGTGCGCGGTGAAATAGTATTCAGCTATGTATTGATTTCGTATAGTAGATCAAAACAAAAAGCTCATAAATTGAACACTTGGTAAGTAGAAGAAGCCATCAATCTGTTCGAAGTACGTTTCTCGTTTTAGTTGCACTGAGATAGATGCATCCATATTTAGCATGAAAGTAGAGACAAAATAGTTTTTAACCATCTGCATTCGCTACCCATTTCTTTACCTTTTTTATGTTAATAGCGTACTGAAGAAACACGTGGCTTTCTTTTATGTAATGTGTAAAGCGAGAAAGCGTTTCTTTGTCTTGTTGTGCTTATTTTGCCACATGCAGCAAAGCAAAAAAGCAGTAGAAGACTATTGACTCAAGAACTGACACAAACTGAGTGAAAGGCTTTCATATGACGCTACAGACGTCGCCGCATATTTTTGTTTTACTGTGAAATATCCAACATGAGAGTAAGTTGATTCATGAATGGGAATGACATTGGTCAAATCCTATTTTGATAGTAACTATGATTGGTAATTTACAACTAAATAATAAATATTACTTCTACAGTTGACATTCGCTCGTGCTTGATCAACCTAATTCCTCTGTCATTAACTGAAAGTTAGAGGTGTCATTTTCATGTTAATTTAAGATGAATTTAATTTATCGACAATTTAATTTAATAGGTTTTGAATATGAATTATTTGCACTTTATAATTAAAAACAAGAGATATGTCCTATATTACGATCCAAAAAAAATAGAATCCTTTAGATTAATTTTTAATTTAATAAATTACGAAGTGCAAATAATTCAAATTTAAAATATAATAAATAATCGGTAATTCAAATTTTTTTTAAATCGCAGTTTCAGATAGTTTAATTTACACATAAATTAAACATGAAGTAAATATAAATTGACACTTCTATAATGACAACAATATTGACTGGGCGAGAGGAATATTCGAGCGATAGGCAAAGCAGTGCGAGATCTTTTAGCGTCTTTCTCCTCTAGAAAAAATTCATAAAAAGGTCTACAATTCTAGAATATGAAAGAAAGTTGGCCTATAAGAATGCCATAGATGAGTGAAAAATCGAGCCGGTCGAGATGATTATGAACAAGATCAGTGAAGAAGAGCAAGAGATGAAAGATTTTGATGAAGTCTAGACAATATTCAGTGGCCGACGGTCGAAATAAATTCAAAGAGCAAGTACAGGTGCTTGACCAGCATTCATCGCCATTTCACGGTCAATGATTCAACAAGGCACATCAGATGGATAAGTTCATTTCAACTTACCATTTGGAGAAGATACAACAAGAGTCAAACCAAAATTCAATCAATAGTCTTCTCAAGAATCGTCAAGTGGGTCGCAACAATGATTCGAGGCAGGATCATTATTTGTTTATGTCAATTTGACATTGTGTCAATGTCATTAAATGTGAAAATTGCGCAAGCCAACACATGACAAGAGCATCGGAGTCTTCAATCAAATTATCCTATCGAAATAAGCAACAGCAACAGTAGCACATGGAAAGGAATAAAAATCAACCATCGTCAAATGTCTGCCTCTCCTCTTCAGTTTGACTCTATTCAAAGATTCTTCCGAGAATGATTTCACAGTTGCTTAACGATTTTGCCAGACCGAAGCCTACTCAAGTACGCACCGTAATAGATGTATATCAATAATTAGATATTATCGATAAAATTCACGCAAGGAGTCAATCGATCAAAAAGTAATCATCTCGGTCAAATCATACGACTCGAATAGAAATGGAAAGCTATTCATGAATGACAAGCCACATTAGCATGAACGATCGCGACTCAAATTCTACTTCACAAGACTACCGTATCTGAATTATTTGTTCATGTTGATGAACAACTAGTTACAACCAAAGTTATCGAATTATTCGATAAAAACCAGACTAATATTCGTTGTCCTAGGCAGACGCTGATTGTATCTTAAATTGAATATAGGTTATCGGAATATTTTACATAAGATCTCTTTGAGCAAATGATACAGCATGATTTATTCGTATGAAAAAAATATTTCATATTCTTTTCTGATCTACTTTTGAGACGAGATAAGGATGACAAAATCTATTACTTGACTGAAGTTTCTTATTTCTAGATTTAAAATTTCACGTGTAAGCAGAATGACGACTGACGAGACATTGTCATTTATGGATGATACATCTGTTGATGTCAACTTCATATGTTGGATATGCAAGGAAAAGTTCAAAGATCCGTATACAACATCATGTGATCATACATTTTGTCGAGCTTGTCTAACCCAGAGCACACTGACAAACTGTCCCACATGTCAACAATCCATATCGACTGATGATCTTAAACAAGCCACTCTGATTGTACGCAATATGATTGAGCGACGTCGTGTCATCTGTTCTAACTGTAGTCAAAGTGGAATTCCGGAAGAGAATATCGATGAACATATTCAACGGACATGTCCGAAAACGATCATTTCCTGTCCAGCAGCCAATGTCAAATGTCCATGGAAGGGACCTCGTGATCAGTTGGATGATCATTTGATTATGTGTCCTTTTAATGGTATTCATTCGACATTTATTCAACTCAAGTCTGAATATCAACGACTGACAGAGCAACTCAGACGATTTGAAAATCATTGCGAAGTACAATATCAAACTCGCATCCAAGATATTCAAAACATTAGAGACAATCAAAATATCAATGTTGCTGAGTTTAATGAACAGTTATTGGTAGAAGAATCAAAGATCCAAGGAAGTTTATTCGAACTCATGCATAATAAAGATCAGATTTCTCAACTGGAGCAACAAATAATTATGCTCCAAAGTGGACTACACCACTGTCAATCAGAAAGAGAACGCATACATAAAGTGGCCATTCAACATGAGAATCAAATAAAAGAATTAATCAAGAAGCAAAATATCATGGCCGGTAAGATCATATCTAGTTGTCTTCTCAATAGAAGATTTATTGTTCTTTTCAGGACTGATCGGCTACTACAATCCCGAACTTATAGACCATATAGCTCAATGTGAACAACGATTGATGAAACTAAATGAAAAGAAATTAACCGATCGAGATTTATTCATAGTTGTTCAGCATGCTATGATTAATAAACCATGCGAAGTCCTCGATCTGCAATCGAACGAAATCACCAGTCAAGGTATCACGATTCTTGCCGATGCATTAAGAGCTAATACAACTTTGAAAACCTTGCTTCTTGACAATAATCGTTTATCTGATTTGGGTGTTTCCTTTCTCGCCAATGCATTGTCAACCAACAATGCCACTCTGAAAACATTGGACTTAGAGCGCAACGGTATTATGGATGAAGGTGCTTCGAATTTAGCTCAGATGCTTCAAAAAAATTCAGCATTGACCAATCTATATCTCTCAGGTAACCAAATCAGCGATCAAGGAGTTCAGTTATTGACCAACGCAATGGCTGATCATAATACAAGTTTGAAAGAGTTAATTCTGGATAACAATCCATTTGTGACTGACGCAAGCGTTCAACCATTGATTCATATGCTCAAACGCAATCTATCATTGCAGACACTTCGACTTTGGAATTGTAAATTATCAGATAAAGCGAAAGAAGATCTTTCGGAAGCAGCAAGTTCGAAGACAAATTTCACATTGTTGTGTTGAAGCAATAACTTTGTCTCAGTTCTCTGTTATACCTATTGAAAATAAACTTGATCATTGCAAAACTCTTTTAAATCGGCAAAATTCCAATCTGCCGATTATGAGTTCGTATAATATGGTTGCTAATGAATTTTCAAAGCATCGTTGCCTTGGGTCAACCCGCTAGAGTTTATAGATATCGTTCGTGATCGGTAAGTGTAAGTGTAGATAAAGAGAAGACGGGCATTCACACTCAGTTCAATGGTAATCCTCCAGATATAGACATAATTTGTCAGATATCAATTTCTTTCTCGTACTAGTGACTAACCTTAAATAATGGTAATCGTATGGTCGCCGAAAGGACACCACCGTTTTAGAAAAATTTCTTCAAATTCAGTGAAAACTAAGCTCTTGGTAGAATTAAATGAGATACATTTACCATAGAATTTTCACCCAGATAGCTCTTGTTGTGCAGGAGTTATAGTGAAAATATGTGTTCATGAAATTAACATCAAAATAGAAAAAAAATTCTTTAATATGATTTCCAAAATGATCACCATATTTTTAGATTTCAAAGCACAAAGAGTGGCGTCATATACAATTGGATAGAGCTTCGAAAGTTTTATATTTCTATTCTTGTTTGAATATTTTCTGATGTTCGTTGAAATACTTTAGAAACATGAGGAAAGTGAAGCCCTCTATCTTTCTTATCAAAATTTTGACTTTTTCACAAATAATGAATTTGGGTAATGTGATTATATCTCTATAACGAAATGTTGCCGTAAAGTCAAACATTCACAAAACCTGTGTGTTAGTCTGGGCTATTATTGCTACAAATTTGAAGAGAAACAATTTTGTCCGACCGGAGATACATCAGTGTCAAGGTGAATAGTCTACTGAAAATGATTCAGTTTTTGCTGGAAAAACGAGTAAATTTTTCTTATTTGAAATTGATATCTCCTAAAGCAATCCTAGATTTTTGGTTTTGATCGCCATCAATAGGCAGATCAATATATATAATTACTATAACAATAAATTCATACTTGAAATTCTTATAAACTACTTCATTCTTTATTCTTCTAAATAATGACTACACTTTCAACTGTCGTTGTAGTCGATTTAAACCTCCTTATACAGCAACTATTGTATTTTCTATACTGTTATAAATGCAATCTATGTATCAGATCGAATAAAGTTTTTAGGTTATGATCACTGCTGGAGTTTCCGAAGCTGTACTCATAGTTTTGATATACTTTTGCAAGTATATTTGTGTGGGTGTGGGTGTGGGTGTGGGGTGTGGGTGTGGGTGTGGGTGTGGGTGTGGGTGTGGGTGTGGGTGTGGGGTGTGGGTGTGGGTGTGGGTGTGGGTGTGAGTACGTGAAGAGAGGATTCAGATCCACACCCACCTTTTCTAAAATGACGGTGTCCTTTCTTCTGTGTAATAGGAAGAACTGAGAGAGAAAGAGACGTTGGATATCAAATGCGAAGTAAAAAAAACACGTAGAACAAACCATCTCTATCGCTTCATTTTCGAACAGCAAAATCGGTTCTTTTCTCCTTTGATGGTTAAATAGATATCACATTTCTTTCATGCTCTTTCGTTCTGTCAGATTTTGTAGTGTTCTTTGCAATACAACAACAACAGGCTTGCAGTTATGAAGTGAACATTCATTCGAATCACAATCTTTATAACTTTCTAGCTAACTGGTTATCTTTCATAGAAATCCTTTTTTATTCATCATTCTTTGTTATTCTCAATCGAACTAAATCATTAATTTATCATGAAAATATATTCAACTCCCACAGTTGTTCTATTAGCAACACTTACATTCATATCCGTTTTACACGTGAGAAATTTTCAGTCATGTTTATCGTTGATTGTTCATTCAACCACTAATTGTAAACAAGCCATTATCGAAAGTGATGGATTTATTTGTGAAACGAATGATGTTTGGAATGAACGTAAATATGTTTTTCAAATACAGTATAAGAAGAATATGATGAAAAGCAACCATAGTAATTTTTTTTCTCAAATTGGGAGCCGAATTTTCATTGTTCTAATTCTCAGCGTATTGGTAAAATGGGTGACGGTGGTAAATGGGTTTGTGATCTATATCGATTAAAATCTCGTCATGATTGTCTAATATACAGTGCTGGATCAAGTGGCGAGTTTTCATTTGAAATCGCTATGAAGAAAGCTATGCCACATTGTGAAATTCATACGTTCGATAAGAAACTTTACTCGTGTCCAAAAAATATCTGTATTTTTCATCAGATCATTCTCGGTAACGGCATTCAACCGAATGGATCAAAGAAGTGGACAACTGTCATTCAAGAATTGAATCATACAAATCGATTAATTGATATACTCAAGATTGATATTGAAGGTGAAGAATATTCATTCTTTCCAACCATGTTCAATTCATCCAAGAGTTCGTTCCCGCGACAAATTCTCGTTGAAATGCATCATCAAAGTTCATATGTTACTCATGGGCTTTTCGATCTTCTCTGTAATCACAATTATGTAATCTTCAACAAAGAACAAAATCTGTTGGCAGGTCATCGTTATTTTGAATATGCTTTCTTGAAATTAAATTCACAGTTTTTCGTTCATAGCAAGATCAAAAGGTAAATACTTGAAAGTGAATATTTCTCATATTGAACGTCTGCATTTCTTCTTTTATTGATTTTGTCGGCATTGTGACACCGGTCACTTGTAATAATGTTAATTCGACTTCTATTCACCTCATTTTTCTTCTATTTGTGGAGAAGATCTTTTTGCTAATTGTTACGTTTTTGTTTAGGACGATAGCTTCCTTCTAACTTATTCGACTAGTGAAATGCAGAACTCTATGTAAACAGATGAACGATGTAATAATCCTCAAGTACAAGAACAACCATGTCAGGAATACAAAACCATGGTCCCTCTATGTCATTTTTCATGAACATGACTCACAAAATTGAGCTGAAATTTCTTTTGCAAGGTACTTTGCTATTGTAAAGTGTGTAAAGGACTTCATGAAATAAAATTGTTAATGAATGTAAACTATATACCGAGAAAATAAATTGATTGTCGAAGAAAACTCAATTCCTTGTTTAACTCTGCTTTTGAGAGTACGTGTATTTGCATGTCTCAACCAGACAAGGGTTCATTTTAACATGTTATAACACGCTCAAATGTGTATGTTTTGCACTCCAATAACGATAAATGAACGACTTTTAGTTTTATAGAAATCAACTTTGTGAATATCATTATCTTCAGATGAAATTTTTCAAAAAATAATTTGTTTCTCGAAAACTTAAAAGGCTCACATTTTAATGTGAAAGAAAATTTGAATCGTTTTTGTCTCACTTTACAGTGAAAGAGTGTGTGAAGGAAAGCCGCCACTACTACCCACTTCCTTATCCTCGCATAGTCTTGATTTTGAGTATGATCCAACAAACGAAGAAACGAGATTAAACAACATGTCGAAAACGAGAAAAAACTGAAAAAAAAGATCATTTTTATATCTTTATTTACTCAAATTATACTTGAAAATCGTTTCAAATTTCACTTGAAATTTTCGATACAGATTCAGCATATATAATTAAATCTACACAAGAATATCATATCATTTTAGTAAATCATTTTTTCTCGGTCGAGAAATTGACATAGGATCCGCCGACAAGAAAATGTCAATATCTGAATGCGTAAAAACGAACAGAGCCACAAGGAACTGGCAATCAATAGACATATCGACGAGGGTTACTGTGCGTGTGTCTTTCGTTGTATAGTAATTCAATACTGAGCAAATTCTATCTGATTTGGAGCTCTACTGTTGATCAAATATTGATAGAGTACATGAGTGACTTATACAGATATTATGGAAGATTTTATGTGGGATTAGTTTATTCTTGAAGCTAGTAATAAGCTTTTTATCAACTCGCAAATCCTGATTCATATGAATATAGTAGCCACTTGAAAATCACAATTCTAATTAGATTATTCTATTACATAGTTCCGTAATGTTGATACTCAAGAATAAGGTGCCTGACGAAAAGGTCATTATTATAATTGTGTTGCATTGATTGTTGTGCATTTAAGAAGAACGATTGAGGAAGGAGTAAAAAAATTATTTTGTAGTTTGTACAAGATAAATGATTTGTTGTAAAATGAAAGGGAAGTTTACGAAACGTACCGAACGCACATCGTCTATCAGGCAAATAATAACAGTGACGAAAGATATTATCGCTTGGTGTTGAGATTGAGATTGCAACCAAGTTGTTCATGAAGTATGCACGAGAAAGAGAGAGAATCAAGTAATTACGATGATCAGCACAAAATGGAATTTAAATGAGGATGTGGATGCGAATGGAAGGACTATGAACCTTCACACACAAATCTGAAAACTTGTTGAGAGCATCTCGACACATGTAAATATCATGAAATCTTTCTCCATTGTCCTCCAGGCATTCTGATGACACCTCTCTAGGTAAGTGTAGAATACAATCCACAATCACAATTACTTTTGTATCTTCATCACTCCTTAAATGTAAATCACCACCGATAATGTCGCTAACCATAACTGTAGCCATCTTCTGAAAATTCTAGCATACTATTTTATTCTTATTTAGGATACTCTCTTCATTCAAATAGATACCAAATTAAAACTAACCAATGAGATCCTAAAGCAAGATTGAAACCGGTCGTGATGTGCTCCTCTAAATTTGTACCAGTTTCAATGTTCTACACTTTGCTCGAAAATTTGTTTTCATTCAATAGTGTCAATGATATTTTATTTTGATTCTTTGAATTGGAATAAATGCATTAAGTCACCGGAGATAACCCGTCAGTAAGATCGAAAACGGCCATGATATGCTCTCTTCTATATTACATCTTACTAATTCAAATGTCATTTATTTCATTGTTGATGAATAACTATATAGCAGGTATATTATCTTTTTAAGAATCTACCAATGACGCTGTGACAAAGCAGAAACAAAACAGTTTGTCATGAAGCGATCAACTTTCCATTTACAGCTATCCCACATCCTCTATATATCTCTATATCTGCTATACCTCCTGTGCTAGTACTTAATGGAGTTTTCACGAAAATCCTGCAAAAACATCGAATCGTTTCAACACACGTTTATCCATGTGAAATAATAATGAATCATTGAAACGTACAATGACTTTTCACTAAAGTCACATATGAAGTAGCACGCAAAAAGACACACTCATGTCTTCATCATTTCCCAGTAATACAACTACTACGACACCATAATTATCAAGTATATCATAACAGAAATCAAAAAGGCTTTATTATCGTCTGCAAACAAAAACACATGAACAAAAATACTAGTCACATGTTGAACTATAATCGTTTCAGTTCTCCATCAAAACATTTTCAACAGCAATGTTCACGATATTGTTCGTCGTTGATTCCGCTCAATTAGTTTTTTCAAATTATCTTTAAGCTTGTCTCCAATTTGGTGGTATCAAATGTCTTGTGTGGTAAGTGTCTATGAGATAAATTACAGATGATGATATGAGAGAGACGAAGAGAGAATGAGGCTCACGATATCATTTATTAATGCATCAGCCAGATGTTGTGTTCCTTTGTCTTCGTTTTGATTCAAGTATAGATTGAGTGTCTATATGAGAAAATACAGATGTTGGCATGAGAGAGATGAAGAGAATGAAAGAGCTCCTATTTTATTGGAGAAGAGATATAGTGTGCTGCATGTCTGTGAAAAAAAGTACATATGAACGACTCTCATCTATGTTGGATATCTGGATGAGCTCTGTCGAAGGATTGAGGCATGAGATGAGAGAGATCAAACATGAGATGATGGAAAGAACGAAAAAGATGAATGAGGAGAAACAGGAGACCGAGAATCAAAAACTTCAGGTGATTCGTCGACTTCGACATCTACGAATAAGATCATCATCATTCACAAACAGCACTAACACCATGTCAACCAGCGTTCCTGTTCCTAACCTACCGGGCAAACTATTAGATTCTGACCGTCCGTTCAATTTAATCGAAGAGTAATATCAACAAGAATGTTTTGTTTATATTTTATACTCATCGCCTTTTGGACCATAGATGTAGGAATCCTATGATACATTTGCTAGACTAATTGGTTGAAGTGTGATGGCCTATTAGATCTCGTGCTACTTGCTGGACGAAGTATCAAACTGGTGTGTTTGACACACTTTGCAATCCAGAATACAGATCGTGGATTATTTCTTCTTCAATTTCAGAGAGAACAGGTAGCAAACTAAAGAAAATATGAACAACTGATAAAGAAATATATGCAAATTCGTTATTCACAATTATGTTCGCATGCTGTGAGAGCAACAAAATACGTGTGTGTCATGGTGCAATATCAAATATGCTACACTCGTTGGATAGTGATTTGTTCCCTATGTTTAGGCCCGATGAGACAATTTTTGACAATTGTAATTCCGAAATAAAAGATGATATGTAGACAAAAAAATTCCAGAGAGTATTATTTTGAGAATCGATTCTGTTATGGTTATTAATTTAGTTCATGTGTTTTAGGATGGAGGCCTGCGAAATAGTCTAATTCACAGTTATATAGAACAGATTTTACTGCATCTTTTGAGATATTTTCAGATCTTATGCATCGAGATCGATGTAAGGAAATGTCGTTGAACATTGTTAAAGCTATTCCAGACAAAACACTTTTCTTTAGTCTGCTCGGAAGAACTTGTGATAGGCACAAGTCAATGGGCTGAATATTAGAATTCATACGTTTCTAAACGCAGGTTGTTGTTTGTACACTGTAAAATAGAAAATAAGATCTAGAGAACAGAAAAGAATTTTCTAGAAATACTGCTACGAATTCGACAATAAATTTGGATTTTTGAGTTGGAGCATAATGAACGTATTCATATGGATATTTTCAGAATATCGAACTCGATGATGCATTCTGAATATTTTCCAGAAAATAGAATAGCGATTATCACTTTCTGTCTTTACAATGAGAGATATCGCAAATTTTTTCTGAAAAAAATCCTATTTACTATTTCTCATGATCAATAAAAAATAATTTATTAGTTGTTTTAATCATTATTCCGATACTATCAACTAATTTATATGTGTGACTAAACAATTATTTTATTGTCGTCACTGTGTAAATGATATTCAAAAAAGTAATGCTGATTTTCTATAAAATTCAAATTAACTTCCAAACTTTGTTAAAAATGGTTGTTAATTTTCCAATTCATTTGACATTGATTTTTTCCAGAAAATTGGATGAAAGTTCTACTTTCGAAAACTTATGCATTTTCTAGAAATTATTAAATCGTTTAACTTTACTCTCAAGCAGACGGAGTTTATTTGAAATTTACATCTCGATAATAAGAGAGGAGGTGGTCAATTGTTAAAACATAGCACTGTTAAAAGTGCTTGATTATGTCATGGAGTGTCTCTTAAATAAGCTGAAAATCAAGTATACTCACCAGCTAACTGATACTGAAATGTATGAATTCTATTTTACGTATGTTCACAACTAGCTTTGCTTTGTATTTACCGATGACGAAATTGCTTGATTTTTTTCTAACTTAGGTCACATTATGTACATCAATGGAGCATTACATTTTCATTAGATAGGTGACCCGCTTCTTAACGATACGCTCAACATTGCACGTTTTCGCTTCTTTCATCAAAATATTTCGTCGCATATATTTTTTGTTCTCGATAAGATGAATATTATTGTTTTAAATATGAATCATTAAAGAATATCAAAAGTTAAAAGAAAAAATATGATTTCAAAATTAAAACTGCAATTACCACAAATCGACATGTAAATTATCATTGATAGTTAGTCATTAACCTGTCTTCAAATTAGTAACTCATTACATTAAATTCAACCAGTGGCGTGTTTTATGGACTGATGATTCACAGTCAATTGGTGATCTAAACTCAACAATCGCTTCATATTTTTCATCAATATTAATCGTTGGTAATGCTCCTCATCTTGATTCATGTTTATCGGATAATGACAAGTCAGAAAATATGATGAAGGCTCGTCAAGAAATGGTATCATTTATTCATGTATAAATTCTACAAATAAATTGTTGATTGTATTAGATACAGGCATTTGTTAAAAGCATGCTTAATATAAAAAATATTGGATAGAGAAGATGAATAGATATTGACTATTTGTTGAGATTCATCACAAGAGGTTACTTGAAAACTAGTTTATATTAAGCTGAACGGTAGACCCATATCAAATGGTTGATAAAAATTAAGACATACTTTAAATCTTTTAGTTTGTCATTTCAATTTCATAGTCGAATCCTATGCGATGATGTTGAATTCACATCTGGCCATTACACACTCTCTGATCTCCTTCTGCTCCCCTCTCATTGTCCTTCCCCTTATTCTAGGGTGCAGAGTGTGGGTATGGATGCTATTAAAGAAAACCCACATCCACACATTGGGCTTGACATTGAAACAGTTTGGAATTGACGAGGCTTGCGCTTGAGAAACGTGAGTTTGAAAAGCTTGAAGCTGATGTCGAAGCTATAGTGTGATTTGAAAGTTTAAAGACCTTACAATGGGAACTCAGCTAACTTCACTGATCTCTGCAGAAATGTTTATGACATTTTTCTTTATGAACTATTGAAAACAAAGTTCAAACTTTACTTAAGCTCCGAGCATAAAACTTGGATTTGGTAGATGTGTAGTTTTAGTTGG